TGGATGGGAACCCCCCCCCCCCCACCCCCCGGACACCACTAGGGGTCTCTGGTCCCCAGCTTGGACGCTGTGTTGCGGGGCTGCTCATTAATAATGCAGCTGACTCGGCCGGTCCCTCCTCCCCTGCTGCCACGCCACACCGCCCCGGCACAGCATCGTCTCCCGTCACTGTCGCATCACCGAGCGGGGGTGGGGGGGGAGAGAGCGAGAGAGAGGGGGAGAGAGGGAGGGGCCCCGCCGGTTCCCACCATTGGCTGCTGCTGCAGCACCGACAGCTTTACGGCCACTGAGGATGTGCGTGAGCGGCGGTAGTGCTGGTCCTCGACATGATCTCCACTGAGGAGACTTCAGCCCCGTGTTGTCTCCTGTAGACACCGTCTGAACCCGATCCAACCGGAGGGAGATGCGCCCGGAGATCCGCGGATACATCGTCCGGACACTGCGGGGAGAAGAGAAAGAAGGGGCGGCGGAGGAGAGGAGCATGTAACCGGGAGAGACGCACCGGCAGCGGCAGCGGCGGTGGAGGATCAGGAGCAGGATCAGGCACCACCTGACTCTTCTCCTTCTGTTTCTTCTCTCTCCTTATTTGAGCTCCTGACTGAACTCGTGCGTCCGGAGGTTTATATCTGCGGCCAACATGAGCGAGGAGGTGTCAGAGGTCCCCAAAGAGCTGCTGGGTAAGAGACGGGTGCTTCGTGGCCATGTGTCCAGACATGGAACAATCACTGATATACTCTGTCATTGTACTCACAGGATCTCTCTGTCTGCACGAGCTGCAAGTTCACTGTGACTGTATTTTATCCATGTAGTATTTTCTGCCTGTGCAATACAGCCACATGCACCGTGCTGAGACACAGCAGTGTTATTGTCTTAAGAATACCACTAAAATCCACATTAGGGACATTTTAACGTGATCCTTGCCACACGGTTCCTCACAACATGTATGACTTTATCTCAGGGTGAAGATCAGTGTTAATAATGTGTTCAGCACAAGCTAAATACTTTAGATCTGAGTGGTCAGCTTGTTCATGCCCGAGCACATAACGTGCAGGATTATTTCCCCCCCACTCACAATGACCATGGTGCACTCTCAAATCTCTCAAACCTGGAGTTTTAACATGCCTGTAGTAATAATAAACATCATCCATATTATATTATTATTTATATTGTAGCTTTCAAATCACAAGGTGCTTTACTAGTTACAAGTGGAAAATCTAAGGCAAATTACAGAAAACTGTTTGAAATAAACAATAAGAAACCATTTAAAATGTTAATTTGAAGGTCACTGCCAGAGAGCACAGACAAAGAAATACAGAATGTTACAGATGAGAAAGGGGTAAAAACAAGACAAAATAGAACATTTTAAAATGCACAAAATAGAGATGAGAACAAGGAGAAAGCACAGCTCCCTCCCCACCTGAAAACGTGAAATTTAAAAGAGGACCAGGAGTTTGATCCCCTCGGAGAGATTGATTCCACAGGGTGGGAGCCCCCGACAGAAAAGGCCCGGTCACCTCTGCTCCTGACGACTCGCCCTCTTGAGTCTGCTGAGTTTCTCCTGACTCACTGTATTTGTACTGATTGTGGACAAAAGCTGTAGCTCCGGCTCTCTTTGTTTGGCATTATAGCTCAGTTTATGACACCTCAGTGCAATGTTGGACAAGCACAAGCTCCATGTCTCTGTCTTCGTCTCAGCCAGTATGTTCCTTTGCATTGGTTTCTTAAAGATGGTGCATGCTGCAGATGAGGCTTACAGGAAAATGTTGCTTGCTCATGTAGTCACTAGGTTCAGGTATTTCCTTAATGTCACTGACTGTTTCATTCAGGGAGTCCCTTATTTTCAAACGTCCAAGGTGTTTGAACTCTTCTTTCAGTTGGGATTAGGAGCAGAGAGGCAGAAAAGTGTGTCTGTGTGATGTGGGAATTCTACCACCTTCATGTGGTTAACATCATGCTCAGCATTTATTTCTTCCTTTTTTGTTCTCCCTTAAGTAGCTTCAGGTGTGATTGAAATCATCCTATTCCACCATATCAAACAGCATCAGTCTCATACTGTTTATTCTGTATATCAGCTTGTCCCAACTGTACAGTGTTTACACGCTCTGATATATATAAACGTCTGTCTTTTGTCCTCTGAAAAGCACAGATCTCCTTTTTTCTAGCTTTGTACAAACCGCCTGGTTAATCATGGCGTCCAGGGAACTTTGTGGCGATGCTTTAATTTTCTCTATTACAAAAAAAAAAAAAAATGGACATAATATGTTTTTCTCACCATATATATATACATATCACCATATCGTGCCTTTAGTGAGCAAGTTTCTCTATCTTAATCCCCTGTCTTGAAGAATTCCCCTTTCTGCTGCTGGCTCATTCGTTCAACGCTCCTCACTTCGCTTAAGGAAAATGTTTTGGCATGATCGTATTGTCATGTGGCGTTGTCTGGATGAGTATATAACCAGCTATTGTATGAAACATTGACTGGTGCTGGTGATTCACCATCATGCATCATCAGCGTTGGCAGGAATTTCAGCACAATGCTGCAGGAGGAAGAGTCTTAAGGAAAGTGTATCATATTTTTGCTAATTTAACATTTGGCCTTTTTCCAACTGACTGGTTTTGTAAGTAATGATCAACAATGGGAATAGCCGAGGATATTATCTGATTTCCAGGAACTGATATGGAGCACTGAGTTGCAAGTGTTCACAGACTGTATTTTTGTACTCTAAAGATATTTAGCTGATTAAAATGGGAAACATTTTTCATTCGGTGTCAAGGTGAAGAAATAGCTTTGTGTGAGAAATGAGTTGGAGAAACCTTTGAGGAAAAGAGCTTCTAAAAAATGTTTGCTGTGAACACGCCGCCTCAGTGACATTTAAAATCCAGGAACCTATCCTGTGACATCCTCAACATGCAAACCTCCATACACTCGTAACTGACTTTATTGGCTTGTGAGTTTGTTTGTTTGAGCTTTTACAAGGCCATAGGTCTCCTGCCTCCTCGTGTTATAAACAAATCCCAACTGAAATGCTACCTGATGTGACCTCCTGCAAAATGCCTCAACAGCTGAATATGAACCACAGGGCCGCCGGCTCCTAAAACGTCTGCTCCTGTCACAGTTTTAATGAATTAGCAGACGAACGCAATTAGTAAAAAAAAAAAAAAAGTGATGGATGAGATTCTGTTAGGAACTTTTCCTGTCTGGGACCCAGAACCGCCCGGGCTCATTAAAACCCACCAGGTCTCATTTCGTGTTGAGGCCCACCAGAGACATCTCTGTAAGTTATTGAGTGTGTGATCTGGAGTTTTTAGAAATTGCTGCAGTATGAAACGCTGCACATTTTCATCCCTGTGTCTTTTAGCGAGCTCAAGGCTGGCAGATGAACAATTTAGCACTTTCCCTAATTATTAGTTTCACTTTGATCTGACGACGGCTCGAGGAAGCCAGTGGGTGAGGACACACGCGTGCCAGCACAGATGCACACACACAGAACGATGCTCTGTCTCAGACACGTGTGCACGGACGATATCAGCTGCTGTGGTGGGTGAGCGAGGCGCGTGGAGAGGCGGCTGACCCAGTTCTGCTCCCTAAGCCTCCGCCGATTCTGCTGGGTGTGAACAATCAATCTGAGCAGCGGAACACACACTCAGCATAATGCTCATCGTACTGTGTAGCTTATCTGAATACACACATATTTATATTTATGATTTAACTATCTGTTATTTTATGAATTGATGTAAAATATACTTTAAATTAATTATTTATCAAATGAATTTAAGAAAATAGGGAACAAAAGAGCAAGAGTTTGCAGCCATGCTTGAAGCTTTGGTACTTAAGCACAATGCTTTGAGCTTTATAGTAACACCAGCTTGCTAGCATGCAATTAATGACAATGCTAGCATACTAATGAGGAGGTTTACTGTAATGTTCCATGTTATCTAATTTATAATGTGTCAGCATGCTATTATTTACTAATAAGCCTATCTGAAACTATTGCAAAGGCCATTCATTATCATTAACAAAAATTCTGACCGGATTTTGTCTTCATTGTGCGTCATTTATTATGCATTGTTCAGAGGAGCGATCTGATGCTCCGGCTGCCAGTCAGACGCGTTAGATTATTTTCTGAAATATCTGAAATTTTGGTTGGCTGTCTTCATGCTGTCGCACAGTTGAAGCATAGTCTCAACTTGATCCCCCAAACTCTTCACCCTTTCTCCACAAAAAAAAAGAGGAAAAGAAAAGTGTTCTCACAGGACGGTAATCCTTGTGTAGCTTGTGATCAATGTCTAATCTTGCAGCCTCATGCATAGGTTGCATTGTTAGCAAACAACATCTCTAAAGTCACATGCATGCCCAGCTTAAGTGAGTATTTGTTCAGAAATACTGGAAACAGCTTCATGTCTCAATCAGAACAAACTCATGATGGGTAATAAAGGCGAAAACTGAGGTTCCCCCCCCCCCGGGTGTGAAGCATTTTACATCAAATAGATAAATGTGTTATTTTTAATCAGAGGAAATGGGGAGTTATTCCCCCTGAGGCAGAAGTGCACTGATCTGTTCTCTGCTGAGGAAGTCAAAATGTTGAAAATCTGACTCAACTTGAGCTTTTGATTTAAATCAGGTCTGTTTCAAGACTTTGTGGGAAGAGCTACTGACGTAAAGAGAAGCCTCGTGAATACACAATGACTCACTTGAAAGAAAATATGCAGTTTGTGTTAAATGGGATTATATTTTTGTTTTTCGTTAATTGAACCGCTGTCAAAAATGCATTTCAATCCAATGCTCACAAATGTAAAGTGCCTTTCTTCCCCTTTGTGCAGAGAGCGTGAGGGATGCGTTGGGGAGAAAGGTGAAGCTGTCGCTAAGGAGGAGAGTCAAACTGGAGATCAAAGCAGACAAGACGGAGAACAGAGTGTTGGTGAGTCAACTCCTGCTGCACTCAAGCTACTTCCTCATTAACATGAGTAAAATCTTTCTCTTTCCTTTTGTCTGCTCTGGAAATGTACAGTTTTCACGAAAGAATGTCAGAACCTCTGCTGTTCTCTCTCTTGTCATTAGTACTTGAAAGACTTTTTAAAAAAAAAAAAATTTCTTTGTTTAACTTGTCTTGTTGAGTAATTTCCCACAAATCAAAGTTAGAGGTTATTAGAAACAATGCTAACATCATCCTGAACATCTCCTGTCTGTTGGTTTGAGTGGGGTCAGCTGAGTGAACAGCATCTAACTAAAAATGAATAGATCGGATAAAGCATCTGTCTTTACGGCTTTATTCTGACTATCTCGACAACCTCTCGTGCGATAGACCTCAAACTTGACAGGTGTGTTGCTGAGGACTCACGGAGGTGCAGTGTCGACTGTAAAGTTTTTGGGATGAGCAGTTCTTGAAAGAACACTCTAGATAAAGGTGGAGCTACAGCTACTTGGAAAATGTACAGTTGGCAAATGAAAAATGGCTTTCATTGTGTAAAACTGTTTTGTATAAAGGGTTTTACTCACAAATCAAGTTGTAATGAGAACATTTCAAAATGGTTTTCAAAAGGTTTAAGTGGCAAAAGCTTAATGTTAGGTACAGAAAGGTTTCTCCCAGCACTTCTATGCTGATTTATGAGATTATTTATATGGTTGTATAAATTATCTCCAGAATGCAGAGTATACACTACTCTCAAAAACATCCCATCTGAAATTTAAGTAGCGTTGGTTAGAGATTCATCTAACAGCAACATATTAAAACAAAACATTTGAAGAAAAGAACAAGATGACAGAAGAGTGGCTCGGTCTCCAGACTTGAACCTCACAGAACAGGTTCAAGATGAACTGGACACAAGGTGAAACTTGCAAGTGAAACATATTTTTGGGAACGTCTTGAACAGTGTTGAGACAAGCTTTCAAAGCATCGTTTAATTTCCATTGCAGAAAGAACATCACAAGTGTTTGCAGCTGCTGAATGAGTCAAAAATGTAGATACAATTTCGGATTTGAAATTCTATGATTCTTTTTGAAACCTTTCTTTTTTATTCAGTGCTTTCATTTTAGAAAAACTTTGACATTTCACTACTTCAGTAACAACAGGGAAAAAAGTTGCACAAGATCTGAATGACTAAAGTTGATGCCCTGTTAAAAAAAGTGAAAAAAATCCCCCCCTGATCTGGATCATACCCTGACCCATACCACATCCCTCCACCCAGTGTCATGGAAATCAGCTCTGCAGTTTTTTCTGCTAACCAACTAATAAACAAACAAGCAAACAAATACAGATGTCAACATAACCTTATTGATGTAAGCAAGCTGTTTATGTTTGCAGTTGCACCCATGATTTACAGATGTAAAACTTATCAACGTGATGAATTAAGTTCTGAAGCATCTTATTTTTTTTAAATAATGTGCATTAGGGATAACTTTTGTAATTGAGGGACATTGTAGCACTTGGGTGCAAAGACTTTTCTGTCTGCATGAACTGTGTGTCATCTCTGCTGCCGCCCACTCAGTTTGAAACTTCTGTCTCATACCGTCCCTCTCAGACGTCTTTGTAGCTTCCTGTTAGAACAATAAAAAGCTGCAGGTAAAGTTAAACACTCTGACTCAAAGTCCAGGTAATCCATTCATCCAGTCACGCCTCACCGTGTGTATCTACACCAGCCCTCAGCGTGTCTATAGGCCGGGTGGAAATAGCAACTCAGGCCATTAACTTTTGTCCAGGGAGTATTAATTCCACTGACTGCTAAATAATTAATACCTGGTAGATCATTAAATATGCATATTGTCTCTTTCTAGGCTTGAAAAGGCAAAGAAGCTGAAGATAGTTAAGACATAACGGTTCACTCTGTGAATCAGTGTCTGAGTATGAGCTCAGTAAAGTTTGATGGTTGAATCAGAAAGCTTTGAGGTGCTGTGAATGAACCAGCATTTAATATGTGGAGCTGTGGGTGAAGATTGCAAGAGCCTTTTACTGATACAGCTCTCAGTGGAATGAGAAGCTTTTAGCTCTACGGCTGTGTGCAGACTTAAGAATAGACAAACTGTTTGCTGTTGCATTTTGTCCCATTAGCTATCAACCTCGGCATAAATTTGCAAAAATTGCACTTGTCAGTTAATGTAATGTAATCATTAATTGGAGAGACTCAATCACTGCTGGAGTCTGGACCATTCAGTGTTATGTCAGCAAAGGACTATGGACCTAGAATTGTGGAGATTTACGGCTACATTTCTTTAATGCTAGGTTGGGTAATCCAGGAAGAGAGATAGCAAAATTGGGCTACATTTGACAAACATGCAACCGATATGTCCCACCCACAAGTTGACAGGATTGGTTTCTACGGTTTGTGACATCACAAACCCCTGGCTGAATCATTTTTTTTTTCATACTCGCAGTTATTTACTGCAGTGTTAAAGTGGAAATATTATTATAATATATCATTATATAAAAGGAACTAAGGAAACTCAGGTTTATGAACTTCATTTTCACTTCACCCAAATTTACAGGAATATAAACCCCAGAATAATATTCTTCTACAATCTAAGTCATTGCAGTCAAGTGCTTGGTTTGAGGCTAACAATGTTAGTATGTGGGAGCTGGAGACAGAGGCTCGTAGTGTTAAAACACAGATATACAGAGAACAATGTAAAGAAGTGGGAGGCAGCACTGGGAAGTGAAGAATTCCAGTGGAGTGGTTCTGGTATTTCTTCCAGTCGCAGAGAATGAGAATGACGCGGTGAGTTTGTATCAACGCTCTGCTTGACCAGACTGAATAAATAAACCACTTGTTTGTTGCTGTGCTGAAAAACTGACATGAAGACACTGATTATGGAGGAAGTGGCTCAGAGAGAAAACAAACATGTTGTGGAATGTCAGCCTGAAAGTGTTGTAGAATCTGATGTTTCTGATGTTTGTGTTTCAAATTCAGACCAAATGATTTGAAAACTGAGGCCCAGTTTTTAGTGGACAACTTCAGACGTTCGTTTTAAACCTCAGTTCATTTTGACTGAATGATGCATTTGCCAACTGAACACACGCCTCAGAACAGAGATAAGTGGACAGGATACCCACCCACAAAGTAAATTAATATTTAATGTTTGCTTGCGTATGCCTGAGAAGAGAACGAGACGGGGAGGGTGGACAAATGATTATTATCAGATGAAGATGCAGTGTAATAAGCAGCAGCAGTCAGTGTGTGTGTGCAGTGGTTTGATCGACTTTGTGGTGTCTCTGTGGCTAATGAGAAAAGTGACTAATTCCAATCGCTGATTTAATCCTACATCCTGTGGCTGAGATTGGATGATCATTGGTTGGTGTGTTATTGTATTTTAACACAGTAGAAGTATCTCCATCTTACTTCTTGAGTTCAAAGCCAGATTCATTTTCTATCTCTAGCGTAGAGCCCAACAAATGTATCGTCTGGTTGATAAAGATAGATCGTCATGACATATATTACTATCAATGATTTGTTGTACCATACTCTAATATGAACTTTTAGTTTACAGAATAAACGTTTGTGATATTGGAAATTTTGTCATAATGTAGGTTGTTTGTGACAAAAAATTGCTATACATATATATTCGGCTAATTTATCAATCGCAGAAATGTTTTACCTCCCAGTTGGGACAGTGTCTATGTTCACAGTCCAGATTTGATCTTTGTCTTTGGCATTTTTTTTACTTCCTCCTTCAGCTCACTGTGGCCACATACTCTACAGAGATTTACCTCAATACAGGACATTTATCTTCACTGTAAAGAACACAGATAATGAGGGGAGGAATATGGCTATTTCCTCTTTCAATTTTCTAGTCCTTTAAATACACACACGGCTTTTGCCCTTTTTTCCTTCTTTGCTTGGCTCAGAATGGAAGTGGAGCCCCACAGCGCTCTGGGCTTCTCTTAAGCACACTAAAGCCTGACAGATACAGTCATCTCCCTTCTTTGAAGACGGAGGGATGAAGGAAGGAGAGATAATAACATCAGTCCATCAAACACACCCTGGGGGAGAGGAGAGGGTAGAGGGAGGGAGAGAGAGAGAAAGAAAACGGGCAATGGGACGTACTGTGCAGGACAGAGGGGACTGAAGGAGTGAGGAAAAACATGAAAACCACAAAGAGAAAAAAAAACAGATGTGTGCTGTAAAACTGTGACAGACAGAAACCATCAGTCACTCTGGTCTGTACTGAAATATCTCACCATTTTGATGAATCACCATAAACCACACCACAGACATTCATGGTCTCCTGAGGATGAATCCTAATGATTATTCCTTTAGAACCATCAAAGAGTTGACTTTTTAGTTTTTGAGTGAAATATCTCTACAGCTGTTAAATGGTTTTCTGTGAAATACAGTACAAATATTCATGGTCCCTAAAGGGCAAACTGTATGACATTCGTGATCCTTTGACTTTTCCTCCATGCTTTTTACCTTTTCAATGAGATATGTCCACATCTAGTGGATAAATTGGTGGAAAATCTTGTACAGATGTTCACAGTTTCCAGATTATACATGTAACTAATCTAGGATGTGTTAGACTGGGAAATTCCCTTGTGGTTTTGAGTAAAATGCATCAACAACTATTGAATAAATTGAAATGAAATTCCGTGTAGACGTCCATGATCCCTACAGGATGAATTGCATCACTTTGGGAATCCCTTGAACTTAAATTTTCATCATGTGGTCAAATTTAAAATGTGTACTGAGCTGTGGATTATGGCCACATACCTGCGAAACTAATCACATCCCTATCAGCTTAAGTTATACTTTGTATTTGGAGTTAAAAAGATAAAGTTAACATACAGACATGCTAAATTAAGACAGTAAACCATCATACCTCTTGATCTCCTGCTGTAAATAAAGGAAAGTCTGTGTGTGTGTGTTCGTCCTCACCACAAACTGTCACCTTTAGTTAACTGCTCTATTGCATCTCATTGTTGTCTTAGTA